GCAGGCTGATTTGCAAAAGAATTATGATAGTCTTTATTCCCAAGGATGGTCAAAAAATCTCAAGAATAAACATACGAAAGCCTCCAAAAAGGGGCACCAATTCGAACAGGCTCCCTTACTCTATCGCTTTCAAACTTATAGTTACTAGCTAGGAAATCAACAGTACACATGTACACATATACAGACCAGTTCATTCGAGATAGTTCAATTCCAATAAAAAATGGATTTTTCAAAGAAGCCAATTGTTACCAAGTATATGTTTTTTTTTACTTTGGTAAGAGAGAAAATAGTTCTCACAATCACCCATACCTACTCTGAACAAGATATACGCAGACCCTATTTACTCTTCTTAAAATTGATACACACATTAATACTATATAACCATTGTTTTATTTCTCGCTGATTCGTAGCGAGGGCATACTGTAGTTTGCGAAACGAAACAAAACGAAATAGAAATAGAAATCAGTTATTTTTTAAACTAACTCAAAATCTGTAATTCTCGAAAAGGAAATCTGTAATATCAATGCATTGGTATTTGTGGTTTAGTACCAAAAGTTCAATGGAGCCTGGCCATTAGGTTGGATTGCACAAAAATACAGGTCATTATCCATCAGCCATTAATTGCTTGGGTTCGGATCACCACTGACGGTGCAGGAACACTTTGGTTCTTTGGATCTTTGACTGAACTTAGGGTCTGAGGAATAAAGGTGAGAGAATTATTACTGCCACAACGGCTATATGTTTGGAACTCCCCCTCCCCCTACGAATAGTCCAAATCTATTTTTCATGTCTTTCGCTTTATTTTTCTATTCGCAATGTCCTTTATGTCACTATTTCATACCACACAATTACCTTTTTGTAAGACGAAAACATTATCTAACGTATCAAAATATCTCTCAAGACCGAGATAATACTCCTTATCTTTTTTTACTTCATGGCCTGAGACGTAAATGAAACACTTTAAAGATAGATTATCAGCACCTTATGTTAAATAAACTCTCATTTTTTAAATGAGTGCCTCTAACCTTGAACTACTACGTGTAAAAAGGCCACTGGTGATATCCGTTTTTCGATGTCGTTATTGGCGACGCAGTGGTATCTTCCATGATCTTCCATATTAGTTCCTGTCAATAATAGCTGACTGAGTACAGTTTTGTTGTCTAACAAAATAATCTTCTCCTCTAATCTTGGGCTGGTTTTGTTGGTTTGTAGAGCATATGAATCATTATTTTTCATCCATAAGATGGTTAGTTTTGGTTGACCGGTAGCACTGCAGTTCAGAGTAACATTAGAGTTGATAAAAACGCGTTGACTTTTCGGATCTTCAACGATGTAAATGTTTTGGTTTTCTGAAGAAAGAAATTGGGACAGTCACTAATGTTTATCTATTTAATATTTATTGTTTTTCTTTCCCCTATGACGTTTTATCTATTCTAAACAAACCATTACCTTCTCGTTGAAGGTAATTTTGCAAGGAGGAAAAATTATCCAACATTAGTTCTGAAGAACGAAATTGAGACATACGCTAATGTTTATCTTTGTTACAATGAAAATACAGAAAGGAAATATAACGCAGAGGGTGATGAAGGGATGGTGCGTCTTGCGTTCTGATGTAAAGTCAACAGTATGTTATACGTAAGAAAGGTCAGTGGTTCTAAAAGCATAGATCACTGGACTGATAAAGAATAAGAAGACATGGAGGAAAACACGACAAATGATGCAAGAAATATTACATTTTGCTTTTCAGTAAAGGAGGTTATAATAGCTAAATATCCTACAGGTTTTTCTTTCATGAAAATTTTAAGTAGTTTATTGGAGGGTGGTGAGGTTTAAACGCGAAGCGTGATTAAGGCCAAAGTTAGTATGTGTTGCTTGGGTTTCACAAAAGGCAAGCGTGGTACGTTTATATGCACATGTGAACCAGCGTGAGGCAAGAATTGCCTCCTGAAGTATACGAGATTTGTGACGGAGCTCCGACACACGAGAGGAGAAATTTGAATGCTAACCTTTTATTCTTTTGACGCCTGAAATGCTTTTTAAAATATACCCGACCCGGGAATTTTTCTAACCGGGATCAGGAACCCTTACGAAAATACAAATTTAAAATAAAAATGGGGAATGAGATCGTCAGCACACCAACACGACAGGCAGCTAACTAAAGAATCCAATTCTAACATAATATGATGCAATGCTGATGGGGTTTTCATTTTATCTTTCTTTCTACGCCACATTCTTTTCGCTTACCAATCATCAGTCGAGTGTTATCCTTGCATATTTTTCGCTCTTCTGTTGCTTACCTTGCGGACGAATTTCGACTGATTTTCTTCTGCAGTGTTTACGATATGGATTTCCTGCTTCACACGTGTAGCCTCCGAGTTTCTCTGCCGTCAGCTTTTTGAGCATTAATGTACATCTTAGTTTTAACACCATTCTTCTACCCTGCACACATTTATGTCCAACTGGCCTGCCCTGTGGATCGTACCACTGAATATACTTGGTCCATCTATCATAATATCCTGCATCAATACTCCTTGGCTGCGCCATACAAGTCAGATTGATCGCTGTACCTAT